CCCCAAAACCCCAAAACCCCAAAACCCCGGGTGAATATAATTGATTTTAATATTGAAATTTGAAAATAATATAATGAAGAAATAAATAGCTGATTTTTTAATAGTAGGTGGAGGTGTGATCGGAATATCGGTTGCAAGATCATTAAGTCATAAGTACCCTTAAGCGATCATCAAGTTACTAGAAAAAGAGAAAGAGGTATCTTAACACACATCAGGTAGAAACTCAGGAGTTCTTCATGCAGGTTTTTATTATTCTACTGAAAGTCTCAAAGCCAAGTTTTGTAAAGAAGGTAACGTGAGATGGACAGAATATTGTGATGAATTTAAATTACCTATTAGAAAGTGTGGTAAACTTGTGGTTCCCAAAGTAATTTTCTAATTAATCTAAATATTTTATCATAGAATCAAGGGGAAGTTGAGTATATGCATGATTTATTCAAGCAAGGGATGAAAAACAACGTGCCACTGCATATGATAACAGCTGAGGAAGCTAAAAAGATAGATTCAAATGTTAGAGGATATGGCAAGGAGTTTATTTGGTCTCCAATCACTAGTACAGTTGATACAAAGGCACTTCTAAAATTTATGGTGTAATTAATAGATAGATTTTAATTGTAATTTAGAGATGAAACTCATGATAAGAATCCAAACTTTGAGATTCTTAGAAGTAATGAGTTTAAGCAGCCTAAATCTAAAGATACTCCTAATGTTCTATTAACTTAAAATGGGGATTAGATACATTATAAATACTTAATTAATGCAGCTGGGTAATAAGCATTAAACATTGCATAGGAATATGGATTTGGTAAAGACCTAGATTACTTTCCAATTAAGGGCATATATTCTATTAGCGATAGACCATTAGATCATATCTACAAAACATTGGTGTATCCAGTACCACTTAAAGGAGCTTATTTCTTAGGAGTGCACTCAACTATTACTGTTGATGGCTATTTGAAGGTTGGGCCAACAGTTTCACCTGCCTTTTCGTGGGAAAACTATCATGGATTTTAGAATTTGAAATTCAACGAGCTCTATAGAATAATTAAAAACTATTGTCACCTGCTTGTATCTGACTAGAGGAAGCTTATTTGGACTTTTATTACTGAGGAAATGCCTAAGCACTCTATCAAAAGATTAGTCAATGATGTATCTAAGATACACTTTATTGGGCCAGAAGAGTAAAAAGCTTTTAAGTCATTTTACCGGCCTGGCATTAGAGCTTAGTTGATTAATAAGAAGAGTATGAAAATGCATAATGATTTCATTTTAGAGTTCGGTGATAACTAGCTGCATATTTTGAATATTGTATCCCCTGGCTTTACCTGTGCATTGCCCGTAGCTGATTATATTGTAGATTAGATTGCTCTTAAATTAGACAAATGATATTAATTTCAATAAAGATATTTTAAGATTCAGGATATTAAGGTGAACGGGGTTTTGGGGTTTTGGGG